TGAGTATCCCAGAAGGATGGGGCGCATCTGGAAGGGGGGGGTCTGAGATGTTTGTGTTGGGGGGGCAGTCCCCGGGTCGCTTTGTCTTCTCCAGCCCTTCGTCTGAGACCCGCTTTGCGTCCAATTCGGGGCCGCGTTTGTTTTAAAGCAGAAACAGGACCTGCGCTGCGGTTCCAGCAGCGCTTTAAAAAACAAAACCAATCCAAGCCTTTTAAGTGGCTTTTTGCTTGTTTGCGAGCCCTCTGTAAACAACCCTGTAACATTAGCACTTAGCTTGAAAGGCCCCCCACCCCACCCCACCCCACCCCACCCGCCTTCCCTCTCCTTTTTCAGAAGGGATAATAATGTACTCCATCAGTTAGGGGCATCGGACCGTCCTTTCCATAATTCAGGAGATTTGGGTTTTACACAGAGACGTGTTCTCTGAGCATGCAAAGCAGAGGGGGGAAATGCAAGATTTTTTGCTTTTTAAATTCCCAATTGTTGCATATGGGTGGCAAGGGAATCTGTGCATTGCAAGGACGACTTCACTGAAACTGGCCTGTGGCCCCTTGCAAGCTGGCCAAACAGCCCTGGAAATGGCCCCTGTCTCTGTTAGGGGGGCCTGGATAATTTATAAGGGCAGCAGATGACTGTGGGGGGGGACCCTAGCCAAGATGGTCTTTCAAGGATTCTAGATTCTGGCCTTGGCGGTGTATAAATGTCCGTAATCTCAATGGGAGTCTGTTACTCAGTTGGCCTCCCCCAAATTTTTGCTCTTCACTGGAACGTTTCCAGAGTTCCCAGCCAAAGGGAACGAAATTGCAATTTATAGGTATTTTTTATAAAATATGTTATTTCAGAAGGGGCTTTGGCTGGCTCCAAAATGTGACGCTCAGGAGCGGCATCAGATTTGACCCTAATAAGAGTAAATCCATTCTTATCTTTGGTTGGTAGAAAGCAAGTATGGCCGTGCTATCTTAAGGTCTAGAAACTTGATTTATTTTAAATTAGATTTGCGTCCCCCCCCCCCGCTTTTTTTCTTTTTCTTTTTTTTCCAATTTGGTTATTATTAGACTCCTGGAAAGCCCCAAGTGAATTTGCCAGTGTGCAGCTAGATTTCTTTGGTGTAAAAATGGTCCTGTAAGGGTATCAATAGGGTGGTCCAACTGATCTGAAAAATGCCATTGCAGAAATATTGTAAAAAGCAGCACCGGCAGATTTAAAAACATTCCACAGAGAAATACGTAACTTGGAAGGAAGGACACTGGCCGTTTGGCGCAACAGCACGATAGAAAGGCCTTGCAAATGGATTGGAAAGAAAGAATAGCTAAGAAAAAGATGACTGTAAAGTTGGAAGGGATGGGGTTTAGAAGATTTGCTTTGCACACGCAGGATCTCGGGATGAAAATCCCCAGCGTCTGCCTTAGAAGTGTAGTGAAGTCATTCCACTCTTGGGTAGTTAAAAAAGAATGAAACGCCGAGATGCACATTTTATAAATAAACGAATCATCGCTCTGGAATCTGCTTTAAACTGTCCAGGACCATCTGGTTTCCAAAGGCCTGTGATGTTTTCTCCCCTCTGCGCTTGGAGACACCCCTCTTATATTCTCTTTTTTTTGGTGGGGGAGGACAATCTCTCCCAGCCAAATCATCTGGGATCGAGAAAGGAAATAGGCGTTCTCAGTTCTGCTCGACAGCAGGGTGGAAGGGCCTGAATCATTTCAGAAGGTCCAGCGTGACTTAAAAATGGCCAATTCTCCATCGCCCGCCCTTACTTTAAAGAAAGGGGGACGCTCAGCAGCCTTTTCTCTCTACCTGGCTGGCCTGCTAACTCCAACAAGAACCTTACAGCAGAAGTTAACTGTTCCGGTTTGCAAAGCTGGTCCCTAAAAACACATCCTGTGATGCTAATTCTGGCTGGCTGCAACAGCGGCATTTTCGCTCCGAGTAGCTCGCGACCTTCCTTTGCTTTCCTTTCTAAGCCTGTGGTTTTGCAGCGACCGCATCTGGACCCCAAGCAATCCTGCACCAATCATGGGGTAATAATCAACACATACAGCGAAGACAGATCCTCTGTCCTACCTCCCCCCCCCCCAAAAAAACCACATTTGACCAAAAGCTGCATGAAAAACAGGTTGCGTTTCTTGGATGAGGAAGCAACGCTTGTTCTGGGAGATACTGGGTAGATTATAAATTGTGAAAAGTTTGACAGATGATCACCAAGAGCATTTCTTCCCCAGCCTCCTGAAATAGGGGCACTGGCGGTAAAATATCAGCCCAGAGCAAATATTCTCAGGGAGATGTTATAAAAATTACTATGAATAATAGCAATGTTAACCCCGTGTCTGGTGCTGCACAGCAGGTTGAATCCTAAATTTTGTCCAACAAGCATAAAACAACAATTCTGAGGTTATACGAGCCAAGTGAACGGAGCCAAACCCTTCTGCCTTTTGGAGAAGGCCCAATCAACGCTTATCTAACCAATTTTTTCCCCCAAACATTAACAGAGCAACTGAGTTTGGTTTGAAGGATTGAGAATACGGAGCAAGGAGAACATTAGGACAAATCTTGCAGCGGTACAAATGTGGTTGTATTGCTGCAATGGCTGTAGAAAATAGCTTAATGTGGAAGTTCATTTAGTACACCCATTTTTGATGCTGGGTTCCCTGGCTATCATATTATATCACCGACTGGTTTGATTCATAAGGCATCATTAATGTTATTTATATTTAGACACTCACAGACATCAGGAGATGGTCCAGGGAAGAAAAGGCGAGGGTTTCTGCTTTGCAATTTGATTTTTTTTTCTCTGCGGCTAGTTTGAGCATGGCTGCTTGCTTTCTGTCCCTTTCTCCATGCTCCACTCATTCTTCCATTTCCATGTTGAAGCGGTGGGTCCATACAGTAATCTAGTGAGTATAAATTGCCACAGGGCAGACCCAGGTTAACCTAAATCCTCAGCAAAAACAGATAACCATTTAAAAAAAAATCCCAGATAAGCATGAAGAGTTAAAACCTGTAAACGAAACGAATCACCAACTCACCTATAACTTTATTTAAAGGAAAATAATTCTGTTTGCTGCTGTTTCCAAATTGCTTGCTTTGATGTTTGTTCTAAGTTTCTAGTCCTTTAGATGAACTAGTTCTAGGGGCTACACGCCTGCTTATTGTCAGGAAGGGGGTTTTCAAATAAAAGGGAAAAACCTAAATTTCTTTGCAAAGGCAGAATTTGCAGAGATGGAAATGTCAGCTTTCTTCTCGTGGCAGGTTGTCGCTGAGAAACGATCAGGATGCCCCCGGGAATTTATTGCCCGGCAGAGTTTTGGTCGAAAGAGAGCAACTACACCATCCATGTGGACTTCCTCTTGCCAACCGGGATTTACTTGCCCCTCTCTGTTTCTTGCCATGCCAGCCTGGCTGCCATCAAAAAGGTACGTTCTTCGCGGCAGGAGATTTGCCCAACCGGCCTCTCGCTGCTCAGGAAAATCAACAGCCCGACTCTGTAGCTTCTCAGCCAGGACTGAATATTCCAGTATGCAAAGGGGTGGCCAATTTGAGAAGATCATCTTTCTCTCCTCTTTTTTGCTCCATCTGCGGTCCCGGCTGGGAACGAAAAATGTTCGTTTCCTTGCCTTTTCGCACGAGCAGACTTTGCCTTTGAATTGCACGCTCCTGGTATTAGTCACCACCGTGTATGCCCACCAGAGTGGGAAGCGGGCTATGAAGTGAAACAAGAGGAGTCCTAGGTTTGATCCTTTGTATCTCGGGTTAAAAGGACCAGGACTTTCCCCCCCGAGGCCTGCGCAGTGATGGAGAAAATCCTCCTCGCCTTTTCTTGCAGGTGGTCTGGCACCAGGCCCAATATGAGCCCTTCTTCCAGATGCTCAGCCCCCCGGATTCCTACGTCTTCACCTGCATCAACCAAGCGGCGGAGCAGCAAGAACTGGAGGACGAGCAGAGACGCCTTTGCGACGTACAGCCCTTCCTGCCAGTCTTGCGGCTCGTGGCCCGCGAGGGGGACCGGGCGAAGAAGCTGCTGAACTCCCAGATTAGCCTCCTCATTGGCAAAGGTCGGGGGGGCAGCGCGGGCCAGATGCAAAGTTTTGGGGGGGCATGGCCCACACTGCAGGGCTGTTGGGGAGAATAAAAGCATTGCCTCCCGTTCTTCAGGAAGCCCTGAAACATCCCCTCGGCAGAGGATGCCTGCTGCCTGCTCTGTTGCCCATTTTTAATTCTTCGCAGGCACTTACTAGATTGAAAGTTTATATATGACTCATAGAAATAGCCCATCTGCTCTTTTTCGATTCTGCGTTTTTAGTCCTTGTTTTAGTGTGTTGATGTATAATCCAAGTGAGTAAGAGAAGACAAACAATATATACGAATAACATTAATATAGCCCGTAGTGAATCATCATGAAAGTGGCTGAAAGCTAATGTCTAGGGTCCCCTAACAAAATGTTTTCTGCCAACAGATGTAGACGAAGGCGGCAGAAGTGAGATTTCTGTGCGGGCTTTTATAAGGATTGGTCCTAAGATTTTCACTCACATCCTTGCGCCGCTTCTCCTCGACGCTTACATGAGGACTAGAAACTTAGGCAGGCGAAGGAGTAAAAAAGAGAGAGCTTGTTTAGCGAGAGCGAGGGCGCTAGCTGACTTGGTGTGATAGACAGAGCATCTTCTGCTGTTTTTGGAAACCTCCTGTTCACCGTCTAGGTCTGCACGAGTTTGGCTCCTTGGCGGACTCCGAGGTGGACGACTTCCGTGCCAAAATGCAAGACTTTTGCGAGCAGAGAGCCGCTCAGCGCCAACAGCTAAGCTGGAAGGCCTGGATGGAGTACAGCTTCCCCGTGCAACTGGAGCCCACCGCCAGCGGGCTCGGGAGGAGGAAGACCCTGCCCGTGCCCAGCAAGAACGTTTTTGTCAACGTCAAATTCCAATCCGGAGGGGTAAATCCACGAGCCTTCTGAATCTCTGCAAATAAAGATCGTTGAGATGTTTAGATATTGATATATCAGATTTGTCACCGCCCATCTTGTTGAAAGGCGACTCGGGGCAGTTTACGAAGGAGCTAAAATCAAGTAAAATACAATATGAAAACAGTCTTAAAAATAATAAGTAAAATCCAAGAATGATGGAATTGGCGAATAGCTCAGGAGTGACGTCAGGGTGCCAGCCACCCCCAGGATTGATTAAAACTCTTATCGCCCCACGGCAGCCGGGGGAAACCGGGCCTTAATCCCTTCTCTGAAAACAAGAGGGGAGGGGCCTGCTGCCCGCTAGTTGCACGTAAACGTGCAAAGGCTTGTGTGTGTGTGTGTGTGTGCACGCGCGTGCATCCTAGAGCACAGGCACCATGCCATTTGAGAACCCCTGGCAAGGGGAAAACTGGCAATGCTGCTGTTAATGTGTAAACCTGAAATGCTACCAGGTGGTGGTCTCTTTCTAAATCCTGGCTAGCTGGCAAGGAGCTGGTGACACATGAGGCGAGCTGGTGCAAAAGCCCTGATGAGGAAGCAGCGGAGACGGATCCCAAAAATAACGTTTTGTCTCTTTTCTTCCGGGCCGGCAGGAGAGTTTCACTTTTCAGATTTCCCTGAAGGAATTCCCCGTCACCCTCATGAGCTACGCCATCAAGAAGCAAGCCACCATCTTTCGCCACCAGAAAGTGAACAGCGTAGAAGAGTACACCTTGCAGGTTAACGGGAAATGCGAATATATCTACGGGGAGTATCCGCTTTATCAGTTCCAGGTATGTCTTTTCCCCCCTCGCTAACCAACACAGTCATAGTAGCCAGGATGATGTAATTCTCAACCTCAGCAATGTTAAATGGTGTGGACTTCAACTCCCAGAATCCCCCAGGGGAGTTGAAGTCCACACAGGCTGGCTGGGGAATTCTGGGTGTTGAAGTCCACACATCTTAAAGTTGCCGAGTTTAAGAAATGCGGCTTTAAATAATTGGCATATTTATAAGCTGTGCAGCTTTCGATTCAGTTTACAGTCAACCCGGTTGAACCCTAAGCTGGCATTCTAGCCCTTATGAATCACAAAGAAATTCAGGGAATCCACCCAGGGACTAGGAAGAAAACCACAAAAGTTGCATAAACACGTCCATATTTTGGAAGTCGGGCCTCAGCCCTTTGTACTATTTAAGGCAAACTGCGTGCCTATTTCCCCCTTTCCTTCACAGGTGCTAGAACCTTGAGTTTGGTTTTTAAACTGGTTCGAGTTCTTAGGATTCTGCTTCGGTGACCAGCGTTGTGATTCGAGCCCATCCCCTGAGGAACCCTCTCTTTAATTTTATTTTAACTTAATTGCCGTTCTCAGCTCCGCGGATTTCACCTGGTTTTGTGTTTGAGCCTTTCTTTGCTCGACGCGCTAACGGGGTCTGCTCCGTTCCCACAGTACATCCGCGGGTGCCTCCACCAGCGTCTCGTCCCCCACCTCATTATGGTCCACAGATCATCTCTCCTGACTCTGCGGGAAGAACAGAGCAATGGGCTTGGGCTTCCCCCCAAAGTCGCCCCCAAACTGTCTCCGGGCCCTAAGCAAAAGGTAAGCCTTTTTCATCACCGTTGAAAGCAAACGGGCGACACTGCAAATCTGTTGTTGTTTTAATTTCTGTTTGGAAATGAAGTGATATTTGCAGGGAGACACTGATGTGCTGGTACAGATTCCTCTGCCCCCATCATCCCCAGCGAGGGCTCTGTTCAATTGCTGACCTTTGTGGAATGTGTCCTACCTTGCAGGGGTGTTTGGGAGACCAGAAAAAAGTTTTTAATTTAATGTTGGCTTCAATACTTTCGTAAATTCATCTTTGTCGATGAGAGTTAAATAAAATCTGGGGTTTGGGATCCATCTCGGGCCAGGTTTAGCAAAGGCAACGTTAGCGTGTGTACCTAGCCGTGAATTTCGCTTCACGCCTTCTCTCTTTTGCTCCCGTTGTTAGCTGACCTGCGTATCTCTGTGGTCCCTTGAGCAACCGTATTACATCGAGCTCCTGCATTGCAATAAGGTGAATGCTGATGAAGGAATGAAAGTAAGTAACTTAAAAAATATATATTTTTTCCTCCCGTTCTTCTTTCGGCTAGACATTCTGCGGCTTTCCCCCCCTCCTACTCAGGAGTTGTTTACGACTTGCATTTAATCAAACCTGAGATCTGAAGCTCGAAAACATGCAACAGGGTTTTTTCCCCCCCCTCCAAAACTTTTTCATTCAGCTCTAAGTTGGCGGTAGAAAACTTCTCACTACAGGAAATGAGGGCACAGTGTTGATTAGCCAGAAGTGGAGTTCTTAGAAACTTCAGGCTGTTTATGGGCAGTTGAATTTCTTTCTTTTTTTTAAGACTTCCTTGTATTTCCCTTACGCTAAAATGCAGCTTCTTGCCTGTAAAAAAAAAAAAATGGTGCTAGGAGGAGCAGGCAGCAGGTACACTAGTCTTGACTGTGGCTGCTGGAAAATAGTTTAAAAAATGGATGGCGGGGGGGAATTAGGGGGGAGAAGGAACTAAAGTGTTTTTGGGGGTTGTTTTTTGGTTTTGCTTTTGTTTTTTTGCAAGTTGCACTTAGATGTTATTTCCTTCCTGAATTTAGTGCAAATTTCAAACCACACTGATCAAATCTGAGTGTGGTGCCTCCGGTTGATTCTTTGAGCCGTCCTTGCAAACTGGCCAGTGTTATTATCCTAAGAGCAGGGGGGCAAATTATGACTGGGATATATTCCCCGCCCCGTAGCGCCGTTTCTGATCTCAAGAAGAGGGCCATTCAGGTAGTGAGAGCAAAAGCTGGCACGAGTGTTTATCGGAGCGTTTCCCCATCTTTGGCCTCTCCGCAACCATGAGGACTACAAGCTTGAGACGAGATTCTAACGAGTGGCAGACAGGCATCCTGCTTTGGTCCAAATCCGCCTCTCCCTGATGGGAGGCTTCACAGTTTCCATCCATGGATGCGGCGCCGCTCATTGGGGGGTGCAAATCCAAAGGTGGATAACGTGGTCTCGTCCATCTGTCCTCCTTTTCAGTTGGTTGTGCAAGCCGGGCTGTATCACGGCCATGAGATGCTCTGCAAAATGATGACCAGCGCAGAAGCCAACGTTTGCTCCGAGCCCGTGTGGGAGCAGACGCTGAAATTTGACATTAACGTCTGCGACCTACCCCGCATGGCCCGGCTCTGCCTGGCCCTCTACTCGGTCGTGGAAAAAGCCAAAAAAGCGAGATCCACCAAGAAGAAATCGAAAAAAGCCGTAAGTCCCTCGCCGTGGCGCCCAGCGAGACGGTACCATCCTGGGGCGGCAGGACGGAAAGGCTACGAAACAGCCGGAGGGAGGCAGCGGTGGGAAATGCAGCTTTGGGAAGATTTTCCCACGTTTAAAGCCACCACAACTTGCTGGTCGATGGCTCAAACATTGCCTGAGAGGGAGGTGGTTTTCGAATGCTGCAAGTTAGACGTTCAGCAAGAGAGAGACCAATTCCAGCGGGGAACTACGCACTGGCAGATTTGGGATTTAAAAACAAAACGAAGCAGAGGCACGCAGGCAAAATTACAGTTCTGTCTCTCACACCCATCTGCCCAAAACTTGAGAGCTTGGGGGGATCAAAACCAGTGGGTCCCTTAATCGAGTTGGGGGGCTTAAAAGGTCACCCAACAAACTCTGAATAGGGTGAAAGAGGGTCAGCGCACGTGTGCGCGATGGCTGGTTGGTCTTCCAGAGGCCGCCACTCTGACATCTGGGCAAAAATGAGAAGTCCCGGTTCCTTCCAGGATTTTAAAAAGAGGATCTGGTTTCGGTAATCCGGTCGGGGTGTTTTTCCCGGCGTAGAAACGCAAGGAGGTGCCAACAGGCAGCTGCCAAGGGGAGGGGGGCGCGAAAGGCGTTGGACTTCCTAGAACCAGGCTGATAGCCCTCCTCTGCTTTTTATGCCCTTTGCTGAGTCACGCAGCCTCTGCTTTCTTGGCTTCCCCCAAATTTGCTGTGTCATTTGCTTTTTGGATGTCATCCACGGAGTTACTCATTGCCCTCCGTTTAATCTCCCATTTTTCTTTTTCCCTGACTCACTTTGGCTAGTTCAAGCAGGGGGGAATAAGGGGAAGGGAAAAGGAGGCGGTGGCGTTTTTATTAGCCTCTTGGCCAGCCTGCCTTGGAAAGGAACGGCGCAGAAGCCCAAAAGGGACAGCGGTTTGTAGCTGAACCGGCCTCCTGTTTACACTACAAGTGTTTTGACCCTGTTGAACCGGATTAACGGTTGCCTCCCAAGCGTAATCCGGTGGCTGAGTGACTGACCGGGCTGAATACCATAAGCAAGAGGAGGGCAGTGGGGCGAACAGGGAGGCCAAAGCAGCACTGGTTTTGAAAAATTAACGTTTTTGGCGGCATTTCAGCAGAATTCAGGTTGGGATGGGAGGGCTTCCGTGGGCCCTGATCTTGGCAGTCCCATCCCCGCCACGAGGACTCTGCAGAGACCGACCTTCCTCCTTCCTCCTTCCTCCCTTCTGTAGGACTGCCCGCTTGCTTGGGTGAACGTGATGCTGTTCGACTACCAAAACCAGTTGAAAACGGGGGAGTGCGTCTTACCCATGTGGGCGGCCTTTCCAGGTGGGATAAATCATTCCTGCTTCTCTTTTTCCGGTGGGGGGAGAGGAAGGGCATCCAGCTGGATGTGCTGTTCCTTTCCTTTCCTTTCCTTTCCTTTCCTTTCCTTTCCTTTCCTTTCC